TTATTTAAAAACTAGATACAGAGAACTACAAAATTTTATATACATAAATCTAGTAAAATTTATTTTAAGCAAAACTTCATTATAAAGAAAATTTATTATAAAAAGAGTCATTTTATATATAAATTTTTCTGACTTTAATTCGTTAAACATAGTACAACTTTTTAATTAATAAATTTAGTATAATAAGGGTTTTTTTATATTTAAAAATCAGTTTAACACTGAAAATCCATTATATTGTAAAATTCATTATATCAAAATTTGTTATAGAAAGAGTTGATTGTAATACTACAATAAAAAGATAAATTAATATAAGTATTAAATTATATTATATTAAATAAATATTTTATTTACTTAAAGTTAAATTTTTTTCTTTTTCAAGTAATCGGTAAATCTTTATATTAACATGAAGGATTTCATTATTTAATAAAGAGCTGGTAAGAGTTTTCCTATTCAGTAAATTATATGATAAATGTAATTCTTTAATAAATTCAATAAAAAATGAATGTTTTACAAGATGCTAAGAAAGTTCATAACAAATAAAAAGTTTAATAAGTGCTACTTCAATTTTATCTTTTTTTCTTGAAATAATGTTTGAGTATCAAAAAAATTATTTAAAGTTTTTTGATCCTCATTTGTATTTAATTTAATACCAATTACATTTTCTGAAGATTTTTTACGTGTTTTTACAATATATTGTATTGCTTCTTTTTTACAATCAACTAAAATATAACTTACTATTGCTAATGCTTTTTCTCGTTGTCATATTATATTGCAAGCAGGACAAATAGCAGACTGATGACCATCACCTTGATCTAAACCTTTAGTAAAAAATTCTATATTACTATACGTAATCTTTCACCTTTCTTTTTTTTTATATCATAATTTGATTCATTTTACCTAATATTTATTTTTATTAAGGTAATAATAATAATTTATTTTAAATAATTACAAATTATAAAATTACAAAGAATAGTTTAAATTTTATTTTTTAAGTATGACAAAAAAATTTGTATTACATTTATATGAAATTATCATATGTTTATGTATTTTTAGAATTTTGGCATAAATTTGAGATTTCAATACAAATTTGGAATTTTGATAATAGATTTGGGATTGAAATTTCAGCAACTAATACAGTGCACGAAAAAAATAATTATAATAAAAATTTTACGTAAAAAACTTCAATTATTCTCGCAGTATATCTCTGTTCGGCAAATAATTTTACCTGGTTATACAATAGATATATTTATATAATGCCAATCATTATTTATTTACATTTTATTTATGCTTTGTCATGTTATCTTCATATCAACATGGCCTATAGTACTTTTGCATAACGTTGTATAATGATAGCCACTTTATGGAAAAATGATACCTATAACGCTAAATCTTTACACTCTTTAACCTCCATTCCACTTTTCACAATATACTACTATATCAGAAAACTCAAAAAAAAACATTTCCTTGGAACCTTTATCTCGACCAGAAAGGCCAAAAAGACTTTCTCCTAAAAAACGTCGTCACCTTGAAAAACTTGTTTCAGCAAACAAATTTTCTACATATGCTAAACTGGCAAATATTTTAAACGAGAAGTATACCAACCTCGATATAAGCAAAAGAACTATACTCAATGAACTTCACAGTCTTAATTATATTAGTACAGTTTCAAAATCCATACCTCTGCTCACTGCTCTTCATAAACAACGTCGTATTGAATTCGCCATGAAGTATCGAAACCAAAATTGGAACCAGATCATTTTTCGGATGAAACCACACTCCAGATGTTTCGAAATACTCAAAAAGTATTTTATAAAGCTGACATACAACCTCCACAAAAACCTATGGTCAAACATCTATACAAAGTTCATGCATAGGATGCTTTTTCAGTAAAAGGACGAATTGGATTTTTTCTTTTTACTGGAATCATGAATGGTGCATTTTATCGTGAAATTCTTACTGAAAATCTTTTTGATAATGCAAATTCAATCATGGAAAGACGCTGGGTATTCCAACAGGACAACGATCTGAAACATTCGACTAAGGAAACTAAGAAACTTCTTTCAGAATATTGTCCAAGACAGTTGGATTGGCCTTCAAACAGTCTAGACCTCAATCCTATCGAGAACTTATGGTAAATTTTGAAAACATGTGTAGAATAGATTAACAAACTGGTGGTGAAAAAAAAATCAATTACCATAGACGTTTTTCTTGATACAATTCAAAAAGAGTGGGAGGGAATCAAACCAGAAATTTTTACTAATTTAATTAAAAGTATACCATTAAGATTAGAGCAAGTAATTAAGGGTAATGGTAATAAGATAAACTATTGATTAAGCTTAGACAAACTTTTTCGCA